AGAAATAATGAATGCAAAGAAGGAAAGACATTATTCCAAATGCAAATTAGAAAAGTAACAAGATGTAGATCACAAAAACTCAGGACATTTATGATAAAGAAAATGTGCTCTGTATGTGCTATTTAGTACAGCAGCTTCCAGATATGTGTGCATAAGGACTCCTTGAAATTGAACATCTCAATTGAGAGCTTGAAATTTAGTCATAAAAATTTAAGTATTATGAAACCTTATGAATATTCATTACTTTATGGGAGAAAATGTATCCACAATCATGGAGGAAGCAAATCCTTGATATACATTTGAGACAGTGATAGAAGAGGGACAAGACAATCAAAATTAATTAGAGTCCTTTATAGGAAAATGGATGCAACTTGAGACCATTATGCTAAAGAAAATAAGACACACAAACTGAAATATGAAACTAAAATAAGAGCAAAAGAAAGAGGAGACACCAGGAGGCAGAGAGAATATCTCCAGAGATGGAGGAAGGATGAGGGAAGGAAGGGGTAGGGGGTGAAAAATGTCATCAGCTGTGCTGTGCATGGCCAACTCCACACAGGGAAGCCAAACAAGATGATCTCCAAACATGGACTCATAAACATTTTTAAAATTTAAAAAGATAGGGAATGGGACTGGTAAGAACAGCTCATAAAACAAATTTACCATAAAACTTAAGCATCAGAAGATAGCTATGCATCTAACAATGAGCAGGACCTGCTTTAACCAGGGCTCACATCTAAATGTATGGCGACCTCACCATTAGCCAAGGCTGCAGACAGTGAAGCCTTCTAGTTTCTCAGGAGTTTTCACAGGCAGGCAGCAAGTTGCTCTTCTCTGAAAGTGGTGAGCACTGCAGCTCCTGTTCCTGGGAAAATGCTTTGCTTCCTCTGCCTGAGCTCCTTTTATATAGAGGGGACCTTTGAGCAAAACCAATCAGGGCCACAGGCCAGTGGATGCACCCTAATTGCACACACTCTGCATCCCATCAGGGCTTCCTTTCTGAGTACACAGGGTTCACTTTGACTGCATCTTCCAGAAAAATATAAAGCTATTACCTTACACAACGAATAACAAAGAGGAAAGACCAGTAGAAGCTTACATTAGCAAGACACAATCTGCCTGCTATTTTTTACCAATAATCTCAATTGTTTTCTATGTTCCAGGAAAGACTGTACATTTTGAAGTTGTTGTAGAGAATCATACACTCAGGAACACATGCACAAGTAAATGAAATTTGAGGGAAGGCACAGATTTGGAGCATGTGAGCTGAGTTCCACAGCCCATGTCAATATAGAATTAATCACAGGGACTGAGTTTTAATTAGTTTCAGGGGCCCAAATACCTAATGAGCAACTGCAGGTGGAAAGCATTAATTAATTCAGCTGCACCCACTTCATAGGTTCTTTAACTACTATTTGTCCAATCAAATTGTATTCTATGTCTCCATTTTGTAAGACATGCAGAATTACAATCCTTTTAGGATCTTTCTGGACCTTCTTTGGTTATGAGGAGTTCCTGAATCTCAAATTTTCTTTTGTACATCCTTTAAATTCTGTTACATTTCATTGTTCTAAGGTAATTTCCTTTTTGAAAGGACCTAGAGTTGGTATAGTGTGTAGTAAAGGTGAGTTAATATTGAAAGTTAGAGAAATGTAAAAATGACAATTCAAATGATTATTTCAGAGGAATGAAAGGTAATTACACAAGCAGTAATGAGTGTAAAAAACCATGATATTTCTGTAGGAGGAGCAGATGATGGAATATACCAGAGGCTGAATCCAGATTAGATCAGGAAGGAAACAGTGCAGTCTGGGATAACATAGAGCACACAGGAATAGACTTGAGTCCTGGTGTAACCTCTCCTGTGGATGTTGGAGGTCAACTCTAGCAACCTGAGGTAAGGAGAGACTGGTCAGTTGGGTGACACCTTTGGTACAAATCCACTTGTACCCAGAGCAGCCTGCAGATGCTGGAAAGCTCCCCACTCAGGTCCCCAATGTGCCCCTGGTATGCATGGAGGGGGTTGAGCTTCATCTTCTGTGGTCATTCAGCCAAGTGAGGATGGGACCAGCACTGGTATCCTCCTGCCTCCTGGAAGCTGAGTTTGAGTCTTGCCCCTTTCTCTGAGTCACAGGCTCAGGCAGAGCTGTATTTTCACTCGCGTTCTTGTCTGGACCATGATGAATGGACACATGTCACAGTTCCAGATTTAGACAGAGCTTTGGGAATTTCTAAAGGGGAAATACCCAGGCTTTGCTCTGTGAGCATCTCAAGGAGGGAACTGTCCTTATCAGAGTGCTATAATGAGCAACAGGTGCCAACGGTTAGACTGGAATTAAAAAAACACAGCAGTGAATCAGGGAGAAGCCTCCCCCTGGGACAGAAACCAGAGGCTATGAAATCCTGCAGTTTAGCACTGCCTTTGTGGCCTCTTGGGATAATCCTGCATGAGAGACAGACTTCCTCTGCTGCTCTTCTTGCTTGAACAACAGGTGGGGCTAAGAAGGCACATGGATCCCTGCTTGGAACTGGAGAACAGTGTAGATTAACACCCCATCCACTGTGCCATGATGCGGGCCCTGAAGCTCTGTGACCCTGGCCCAGTCTGTCCCCTCCTCAGTGCAGCCTTTACCATCCCCAAGCAGCCGTTCTCCTCTCCCTCAGAACCTTGACCCAGACCCCCTTCTTTCCTTCTTCTCCTATACAAAGTTGCTAGATGGGCCCTGAATCCTCCTCTAAAGTGACCCACCAAGACTGGAAGGAGCTCTCAGGCTGACCTGGAGGGAGAAGGAACTGGAGCCAATTTCTCCCTGTGGTTGCCTGAACATGACTTGGGCACAGGACACAGACACAGAGAGAATCTCCTGATCCTCAGAGTGAAGTGTTCAGCTTCTTCCCAGCCCTCCCCATTGTCACTGCTCCTTCCTCTCTCAAGTCATTACAATGAACTCTGCTCTGAAGACTTAAGGTCTTCCCTGACCCCACTTCTCTTCCTCCTTAATTAGGTGGAAGATTATGGGGAGCGGGATTCACCACTGCAGCATAGAGGTTGCCTCTTGCTGCTGCTTCTGTGATTGAATTCCCTGCAGTCCTTCAACATGAGCTGTATGGGGGAATAGACTCTTGAGTGATCAGCAAATACTAATTAAGGCTTAAATATCACAAGCACAGAATTTTAATTCTTAGTCCATTATTTAGATATTAGTGCAGATTTTGCCAATTAATAGTTAAGATGTATAAGATGACATTGTTTTTATTAACATGATTATGAGAGGCCATACATGCAGGACTCTCCCATTGGGCCACCTGTGCCACACTATGGGATGGTCACCTGCCACTCACTGGGAGAGTCATGGATGAGAAACAGATGGTATGAGCTCTCTGATGGAAACTGATTGATCCTGCTGTGGGGGGAGGCTGGCTCTCCCCTCCCTTCAGTCCCAAAGAGAGTTTAATCTACGCTTGGGTCTCACACCGGGTTAACCAAAACCAACAGTGGTTAAAGACAGTGGGCGTGTATTTAAATGTCACAAAAGAGAAACCAAGGTGTGAATATATTCATTAAAATATTAGAAGAAGAAGGATTCCAGAAATTAGCCTAAAATGATTAAAATATATTGGTCGCTTTAAGAAAAAATATTAAACCTAAACACAAAAGCCAGGATACAAACACAAAGAAGCCATTGAGGAAAATGTGGGTGACTCACCACACCCCAAAATAGTAATTTATACATAGTTCAAATATTTCTTGCTTGTGAATTAAAACCCAATTATCAAAATATAATTGGGCTAATGCTAAGGAGAAATGTGCACAAATAAGAGAAAGGATGACTACTGTAGTGATAACTCCCCACTTCCTCCATAAAAACAACACATGAGGTACAGAAACTAGATTCTTTTTCTCATTTCTCAGAGACAAATCTTACTTCTTTGCTCAATACATTTCTGTACAGAGCCAAATGTGGTGGAAAGGGCCCTTTCACATCCAGGGTTGAGAGGTAAATGAGAGGAATCTCCAGGAAGAGGCAGGGAGAAGGATGCCAGGGTTCCAGGCCTGGGAGTGGGAACTCTGAAAAGTGAGACAAGTGACCAGAAAGGAGCTAAGGGAAACAAGGAGGCACAGAGGGAATCCAAGGAGCAAGGAAGAGAACAGCTGGAGGTGGAGTAACCCAGCTTGGTTGTGGGGCACCCAGAAACAGATTCCCAAGCTGGGGAGAAAGGATGCAAGGGGAAATGGAGGGACCCAAAGATGGGGAGAGAACTGTGCCTTGTATAGGGAATACGCCCAGTCATGGGAGACACCCAGGAGAAATGGAGGGACCTGCTCCCTGTTGAAAAGGAGACATAGAGTGTCCCAAAGCTGCACAGAGGGACAGAAAGAGTGGCTGAGGAGCTAAAGGAGGGGTGGATGGAACCAAGCCTGGAGTGCAGTACTCTCACATGGATTGAGTGACCTAAAAAGAACTAAAGGACTGGATCCCTGGGACAGTGTACTGGGGAGACACAGAGGAGTCACAGGCCATGTAGAGCTGAGGACAGATATGAGGAGAGTAAGAAGGACCTGAGCCTGGAGTGTGGGGCTCCACATGCATGAAGGGTCCTAAGGAGAAACCAGTGGATCCCATGCCTCTTGTACGTTTGTTGGTTACTGGGGATCAAACTCAGGACCTTGCACTTCCCAGGCAGGCTCTGTGCTGCTGAGCTACATTCTGGGGCCCTAGACCTCTTGTAGAGCCCCAGGGAGGTACCCTGAGTGCCAAGGTACTTTATTGTATGGCACTTCTGTATCAGTATTTGAACAAGAGATTTGTAGCAACTGAGGAATAAGTACTTCCTATGTATTATAGGCGCTGAGATGAATATAGCAAGGAAACACACTGTATGGATGGCTTCTGCAAGTACCTCAGCACCTACTTTATGAAAACAATAAACTGACTGAAGCTGACTTCTGCTATGGCTATGATGTTTTAGATATGAACGCACAACTCATTGAAAGTGGAGAACATTGGATTTGTGCAGGAAATTAATGGCTGAGCCCCTTCAGAACATTCTTATCCAAATGCTGCTCTGAGCAATCAACAATGCTCATGGTCCTGATGACCCAAACCAGAAGGTACTCCACAGAGTTGTTAACTCTTTGTCCATGTTGAACAGTATAAGAAAATATTTCCTTTAAAGTCTCAAAAAGAAATTGAGTCTCCCTTTCTGACTCATATAAGAGTGTGTTATACACAAGAAACTTCAAATTTATTTCAAAAATCAAAGTGCTCACAGTGCATGGAAAGGGTTCTAAGGAGACTAGAGGTTGAGTACATTCAATGTCAAGAATATTTTCATCCAAGTTGATGTACTAGAGTAATTCTTGAATGTCAGCAGACCACTTACTGTTTTTACATTCTGGCTACCATAATATCATTTGACCAGTGAAAAACATGGCATGACAAATATGTATGTCTTACTGGATGCTGTGTCTCCTCAGTTACCTCATATGATTCAGGAGCTGCAAACTCATATCTATGATTAAGGGTCTAGACCAATCAATAACGTTATTCAGGAAGATAATCCAACACTGTTTGTGGAGTCAGCTTGGGAAGTGCCTTCCAAATTTTTCCAGGTTATGAACACTGTTTGCAATGGTGATCAGCACTACATGAGTGCATTGCATAAGGTCCTATGCAAGTGGTGAGTCCAGAGAGGCCAAGTCTGTCTGCAGAGTGCTGAGCTGTGTGCTAAGTGCTGTGATGATGATGTCATAAAGAAAGCAGTATACAAGGCTGACTGAGAATGAAGTAGAAGACAAGTTGATGTGGTTTACTACTGTTTGCAAAAGTATCAATGGTAAAATTTCTATGCAA